TCCGAGCCCTAGCCTGAGTCCCAAGCCATCACAGTGGCAGCCTTTGAGATATTTGAAGATGGCTATCATGTCTCCTCTCAGTCTGCTCTTTTCCAGGCCAAACATAACCAGCTCCTTCAAGTACTCCTCATAAGGCTTAGTTTCCAGACCCTTGGTCATCTTGGTTGCCCTCCTCTGTACACGTCCCATCTTGTCAACATCCTTCTTAAATTTTGGTGCCCAGAATTGGGCACAGTATTCCAGGTGTGGTCTGACTAAGGCAGAATAGAATGATACTAGTACTTCCCTTGATCTGGACACTAGACTTCTGTTGATGCAGCCTAGAATAGCATTAGCTTCTTCTTCTTTTTTTAAATGATATTTATTAAGGTTTCCCAAAAAAAGGTTACATATATAAAAAAAAGAAAAATAGAGAAAAGAGAAAATACAAAATACAGAAAAAATAAAAGAGACTTAAAAAACAAATCAATCTTTCCATACCTTACATTTCATTTACTTGTTTCCCTGACCTCCTCTCGCCTCCCTTTTTTGTATTCCAGTTCAGTTGATTAATTCAGCAATTCCTTTCCCTCTTTATTTTTATCTTAATCCTTTAACTTAATATATTATAGCTTTAGATTCTCACCTGTTAACAATCCATTTTTACATACACCTTTATAACATTGCTACTAAAACCACTTAACTTCATTCTGACATCATTCTAACATTCATTAATTTTGCAGTATTTCTGTAAATAGTCTTTAAATTTCTTCCAATCTTCTTCCACCGACTCTTCTCCCTGGTCTCGGATTCTGCTAGTCATTTCCGCCAGTTCCATGTAGTCCATCACCTTCATCTGCCATTCTTCCAGAGTGGGTAGATCTTGTGTCTTCCAATACTTTGCAATAAGTATTCTTGCTGCTGTTGTGGCATACATAAAGAAAGTTCTGTCCTTCTTTGGCACCATTTGGCCGACCATGCCCAGGAGAAAGGCCTCTGGTTTCTTCAAAAAGGTATATTTAAATACCCTTTTCATTTCATTATAAATCATCTCCCAGAAAGCCTTAATCCTTGGGCACGTCCACCAAAGGTGAAAGAATGTACCTTCAGTTTCTTTACATTTCCAACATTTATTATCGGGCAAATGATAGATTTTTGCAAGCTTGACTGGTGTCATGTACCACCTGTAAATCATTTTCATAATATTCTCTCTTAAGGCATTACATGCCGTAAACTTCATACCTGTGGTCCATAACTGTTTCCAGAGGTATTTTAAACAACTATATTCACAAGGGCCACAGAAAGAAATTGATGTAGACCGATTTTTGAAAATAAATGGATTACAAAAAATCTCTCAAGAAAATAAATTAATGCTGAACTATAAAATAACTGAACAGGAGGTAGAAGGTGCCATCCAGAATATGCAATTAGGTAAATCTCCAGGACCGGATGGACTGACTTCTAGATACTACAGATCTCTAAGAGAATGGTTAGTACAACCTTTAAAGGAAGTCTGCAACGAAATAATGGATGGGAAAAGGGCACCAGAGTCGTGGAAAGAAGCGTATATTACACTTATACCGAAGACAGAGACTGAAAAGACGCAGCTTAAGAACTACAGCCCCATATCACTGCTTAATGTGGATTATAAAATCTTTGCAGACATTTTGGCTAAAAGACTAAAAAAAGTGTTAGTGGAAGAGATTCATAAAGATCAAGCAGGCTTTCTCCCGGGTAGGCACTTGTCTGACAATATGAGAAACATAATCAATATTTTAGAAAAATTACAAGTGAATATTAACACCAAGGCAGTTTTGATATTTGTGGATGCGGAGAAAGCTTTTGACAACATTTCTTGGAGTTTCATGAAGAAGAATCTACAGGGGATGGGGGTAGGCCAAGGCTTTGGAAACGGTATAAGTGCAATTTATTCAGAACAAAAGGCTAAATTAATTGTTAATAACGTGGTGATGGAGGAATTTAAGATAGAAAAAGGGACACGACAAGGTTGCCCAATCTCCCCATTGCTTTTTATATCGGTCCTGGAGGTCCTGCTGAACATGATTAGAAGGGACCAATTGGTTAAAGGTATACAAGTCAGAGCTAAACAGTACAAATTGAGAGCATTTGCAGATGACTTAGTACTGACATTACAGGAGCCAGAATCTAGTACCAAAAGAGTTTTGGAACTGATTCAAGAATTTGGTCAGGTTGCAGGATTTAAACTGAATAAGTCAAAAACAAAGGTTTTAGAGAAAAATTTAACAGCGATTGAGAGAGAGAGGTTTCAGAATGAGACAGGTTTAACAGTGGTTAAGAAAGTGAAATACCTGGGGATTAACATGACAGCTAAAAATGGGAATCTATTTAAAGACAACTATGAAAAATGCTGGACTGAAGTGAAAAAAGATTTAGAAATCTGGTCAAATTTGAAGCTTTCATTGCTAGGCCGTATTGCTGCGATAAAAATGAATGTATTGCCTAGAATGTTGTTTCTGTTTCAAACATTGCAAATCTTGGATAAAATGGACTGCTTCAAGAAGTGGCAGAGAGATATTTCTAGATTTGTCTGGCAGGGCAAGAAGCCAAGAATAAAATTTAAAATACTAACGGATGCAAAGGAAAGAGGTGGATTTGCCCTGCCAGACCTTAAACTTTATTATGAATCAGCAGCTTTTTGCTGGCTGAAAGAATGGCTGCTTCTTGAAAACACAGACATTTTGGATTTAGAAGGCTTTAATAATGTATTTGGATGGCATGCATATTTGTGGTATGATAAGGTCAAAGCACATAAAGCATTTAAAAATCATATTGTCAGGAAAGCATTGTTTAATGTCTGGATAAGATACAAGGACCTACTTGAAAATAAAACCCCAAGGTGGTTGTCACCGATGTAAGTGAAAGCTTTGAAAAGGCTCAATATGGAGGCCAAATGGCCGAAATATTGGGAAATTTTGGAACAAGAGGGAGACAGATTGAAATTGCAGAGTTTTGAAAAACTAAAAAATAAAGTGCGAGATTGGCTTCATTATTATCAGATAATGGAGGCATATAATTTGGACAAGAAAATTGGCTTCCAGGTGGAAAAATCAAAATTGGAAACAGAATTGTTAGAACCCAAAACCAAGATTTTGTCAAAGATGTATAACTTGCTGTTGAAATGGAATACTCAGGATGAAATGGTGAAATCTGCTATGATTAAATGGGCACAAGATGTTGGACATAATATAATGATGGCTGACGGGGAATAGCATTAGCTTCTTTTGCTGCTGCATCACACTGTTGACTCATGTTAAGCTTGTGGACCCGTAGATCGCCAAGACCCGTAGATCCTTTTCACATGTTCTGCTAGTAAGCCAGAGTATGTGTTTGCAACCACACGTATTGTACAGCTGGGATGGCGTACCTGTGACCCTCCAGATATTGTTGGATGCAAACTCCCATCAGCCCATCCAGCATGGCCAACTCCATCTTGGAAGACCACAGGGTCTAAACCACTGAGCCTCTTGGGTTTGCTAATCGGAAGGTCAGCGGTTTGAATCCTCAAGACGGAGTGAGCTCCCCTTGCTCTGTCCCAGCTCCTGCCAACCTAGCAGTTCAAAAGCACGCCAGTGCAAGTAGATAAATAGGTACCACTGTGGTGGAAAGGTAAATGGCGTTTCCGTGCACTCCGGTACTCGTCACTGTCCTCCGTGCACCAGTGATCATATGACCCAGAAAACTGTCTGTGGACAAATGCTGGCTCCCTCGGCCTGAAAGCGAAATGAGCGCTGCAACCCCATAGTCGCCTTGGACTGGACTTAACCATCCAGGGGTCCTTTACCTTTACCTTTGCACTGCATTCATCAGAGAAAAACTAGCATTAACAAAGTGTCATATTGACAGGATGTATGACATGCCCCCAAAGTGGAAAGGAATAATAGTTTGGGCTTGGTCCACACATATACAAATGTGTCACTGACCCGATTCTTATCCAACCCCCCAAGCTTTTGCCTTCTTACTTATTTCCAACGCTTTGGAAGGTAGTGGACTCTCCTTCCTTGGAGGTTTTTAAGCAGAGGTTGGTTGACCATCTGATCATGGATTCCTGCATTGCAAGAGGTTGGACTAGATGACCCTCAGGATTCCTTCCAGCTCTACAGTGCTATGACTCTATGAGCAGGGGCGGAGGAAGGGGGTACGGTGGGGGTGGGTTGCCCCGGGTGTCACCACTGAGGGGGGTGACAAAATGCTGGGCGGCACTCACCGTGGGGCCTGCAGCACACCCAAGCCACGCGTCTCTCCTGGGAGTGATATGGTGGCTTGGGGGCCCGCAGGCTCCCACTGACCCAAGCGGTCCATTAGCTGCCTCCCCCTCAGCTGTAGGGTGGCTGAGTGCGGGGAGGCAGGCAGACTCCTCAGAGGCCCCGCAGAGCGTCCTGCCCTGACTTGCCCTGCCCCACGGCAGCTGGCCCTGCCCCCACGGGTGACTGGCCCCGCCCCTGGGAGCAGGGCACGCACGCCGCCCCAGGAGCCCGGTCAGCTTGCTCTGCCACTGTCTAGGAGTATAGTAAACAGGGATTCTGAATCACTCGGTAGCTGCATTTCTCTGAGGAACGACGACGGCTTTTACTGCATGCGAGAGTTCCCCTATACACTATAGGTTTGGCACCTCCAACGCCAGCAGTGGCCAAAAATCTTACCATTTAGAATGAAGCAAATTAGAAGAAGCACCCAAGGTGCCGAGAAATCACTTTGCTAATGTCCATTTGTTTCTCAGCTCAGTTTATTTGGCAAATGCAACCTTTTAAAGGCAAGCGGACAGCACGGCTATCTACCAGTTACAGTGGAGGGCGAAGGCAGGAGAGCACAGCTCCGTGACTTTTTTTTTCCGGTAAAGAACGCAAGCAATGGCATCATCTGCATCCTTCGCATTCTAACAGGTGAATGAAGTGTTGATGAAGCTTTCAAGTTTGTGACAGGTTTGACCAGAGGAAGGCAGAAAATGAGGAAAACCATCAAGCTGCCCATTTCTTTTCTTTGATACGGTCCTACTTCAAGCTAGCAATCTAAATGGTAGCACATCTTTGCAAGATGGTTTGCATTTCGAATGAAAAGCTAGCAATTGAATTTCAGCTAGCAGGTGATCTTTTGTCAAAGGCCAATGTGCTTTATTATTGAACCTATGCAGCCAGCACCATGATGCTTGGCAGAGCTTATTCCTGCGATGCAAAGATTTTGGTTGTTGTAGAAAGGGCAACAAATGGCTAGTTATCTAAGGAGAAGTGCTTGTGGGGTTTTATGGTGCTAAAGTAACTTGATTGGCCTTGACTCAGGGGGTGAGGCACCTTTTGATACTCTGCCTCAAGCAGAAAAATGCCTTGGCCCACCTTTGAGGACTTAGACCTCCCGTTGCTTCAGCAGAGCCACATTTCAACCCACAAGGAACCAGACACACAGCACCGAGTCTGAAAACTGAGGGTGAAGCTGGAGAGCTGCAGGCTGTAAGCGTCATTGGTCGCCTGCCCAACGAAGCTGTGTCATTCTTACAAGGCTTCTCTGAGCACAGAGTCTTGAGGGCTCCATACGGAGACTGTTGTAATTACTGTCTAAAATGGGTGTATCTGGAGCCAAGAGACAAAATATTATTAGCACATTCCATACCTCGGTTGTTTCCACTTCTGAGACTCTCTGATCTCTCTGTTGTTGCGGTTCCTTCGGTGAACTTTCCTCGTAATCTCTCTACATGGATTTTTTAAAGCTCCTCTAATTAGATCAGAAGCCTTTTTAACCCCTGCATAGGGTTTCCATGTTCTTGCAGTAATCGGGAGGAGAAAAACACAGAGGCATGGATGCAACGCCCAGTGTCTTTCTTATTATTATTAGAGAAAAGGGAAAGAAAAAAGCCTTAATGGAGTCTTGTACCAATATCCCTGTTCCGTTCATCCTTTACAGTGCAGCACAAAGTGCAGGCACTCAGCTTCCCTGTGACAGGTTGGAAATGATAAATTTTAAGGGCTGTTAAGCATTCTAAAAATGTTCCCAGCGGACCCATATAAACTTAGTGCCTGAATTTCCGTAATTGTGGCACACTTGGAACACGAGAGAGCTGGGGGGTGTTATTCAATCGACTAATATTTCTGACTTCACCAGAAGGAGTATGTTAAACCTGTAGTGCACGAAATGTCACCGGGAAATGGAAGCTGAAATTTTCAATCTAAGGCTTGTTGGTGGACAAACTGGAGCCAGTAGTCGGAAATGACAAGCGGTGCTGGAGGGGCAGCAACGAAATGTTGCAGGGGATCCCCAGCTCCTTAACAGGGATCTGGCAGCACTCTCTGGGGCCCCGGCACCTCCCCTCCTCTTCCTCCAGTGCTGTTGTTGTTTAGTCGTGTAGCCATGTCCGACTCTTTGTGACCCCATGGACCAGAGCACTCCAGGCACTCTTATCTTCAACTGCCTCCCACACTTTGGTCAAACTCATGTTGGTAGCTTCGAGAACACTGTCCAACCACCTCGTCCTCTGTCATCCCCTTCTCCTTGTACCCTCAGTCCAGTGCTATGTAATGCTTAAAGGTTCCAGATTAAAATCTGAATTTGATTGTTTTATTGGGTGGGTGTGTAGCATGAGAAGGAGATGTTTACTCTGCCACTGACTATAATGTTTAGCTTCAGGATTCTGTGAGGTGTTAGGGGCTCAAGCAAGTGGATTCCCTTTCTCCCCCTCCATTTTCTTTTCCTCCCACTTGGACTGTGTTTCATGGGTCAGCTGCCCTCAATCAGAGGCTTAATTGCTAGATCCGATGGCATGGTCCAAAGATATGTGAAGCAGCCCCCTTGCTGAAGCTAAGCAAGTTTGCTGGTTAATATGTTGATGGAAGACCACCTGGGAAACCTACACATGCTGCCTTGAGTTCCATTAAATGATCTAGAAAAGGGCTGATGGACCTGTAGCCCTCCCAGTGCTGTCGAACTACAACTCCAGTCATCACCGATCAGTTTGTCAGAACCTGGAGGGCAAAGGTTCCCCATCCCTGATCTAGGGTTGAGCAGTTAAAAGTTAGGAGCGAGCAGTGCGGGAGCCCAATTTGCTGATGATATTTTAAATACTCACATATGCGTTAATGGGACCTGAACCATCCAGGAGCAAGAAACTTTGGCTTGTAGCTCATCAAAGATGTCAACCTCATGATGTTAATGATGGCAGTGAATTGGGGATCTGCATTTTCCCAGCAAGGGGAAAATATAATTCAGTCTTCCCTCCCCTGCTCCCCAACAGCAAGGCAGAAACACACAGCCACTAGCCAAGAGGCTTTAAAATAAAAATTCAAGAGTACCATTTGCTTAACAGTCAACCCTTTTACTGCTGATGCCTCAGTGAATCAACTCCTTCCTTAGCCTGGCGAGCAGAGACTGCTGCAATGATTGCTCTATTCATGGTGGATTAGGCTATTAGAGGCTCTATGCCTACCTCCAGTGTCGGAGGCAGTAAGCCTCTAAATGCCAGTTGTATGGAATCACAAATAGAGAGAGTGTTTTTGCACTCCTTTCCTGTGTGTGGGCTTCGCAGAGGTCATCCATGGTGAGAACAAGAGGCTGGACCCTGAAATTACTTGTGTTTCTGAGCTATACTTTAGAATTTTTGTTACATTTTGGTCTCCTTAGATTTTATTTCTCGGGAATGTATATCTGCAAACTTTAGCATTCCCGTGAGCATTCTTGTTTGTCGGTGGCTTCATTTTGGCTACAAACTTGTCAGTGTTCACCACCTGAATTCATTACTAAGAGTAATGCTTAGTCATGTCTTCATCAATCGTTAGTGAGGCTCATGAAGCACCAGAGGTTTAAAGGCTTATTCCACATGCAGATGGGCACTGCAATAGCAGGCGCAGTTGCTTTGATTGACTGATTGTAATATCCTGCTACATGCTTTGAAAAGCCTTAGAGGGCCTGACGACAATTAAAAGTTTAATCAATGCAGTGCAATAAAGGGAGGGGGAAATGATGTAAATCGTTCTTGCACATTCACCTTTTCTCAAAGGCTCGCTGGAACAATATCCTAAATGACTTCCTAAAAGACAAAGATTTTACAAAGGATGTCCTGCCTCTTTTGCAGAAATGGCTTGTGAGGTGGGGTGGAACCAACTCTCTATAGAAGGAGACAATCATTCAAGGATAGAATTCTAGTAGCAGCACAGTGGACAGAGGGCAGTGGAACTACGATAAGGTGTAATTTGGAGTAGTAAAACAATCCTGCCATATACCATATTTTTCGCTCTATAACACACACCAGACCATAACACGCACGTAGTTTTTAGAGGAGGAAAACAAGAAAAAAAATATTCTAAACAAAATAGTGGATATATGATTTTGTGGTTCATGCTGTGGCCACAGACATGTGATCTGACAGTGAGTTTGGAGTAGCCCAATGCAAAAATCCTGAGGATCCATGTGGATCCATGCTTTGTAACCATGGAGGAGGGAAGGAAGGGGAACCATGGATCCTCTGCTCACGACTGCAGCAGATCTCCCCTGCCACCCGCAGGCATTCTCTCCATAACACACACAGACATTTCCCCTTACTTTCTAGGAGGAAAAAAGTGAGTGTTATGGTGCAAAAAATACGGTATTTGTATAAGTAGCCCTAGCTGCCCTACACCTCCAGCAGCAATCGAACATCGTTGCTAATTTCCAGATAGTCTTTAAAGGCAGTGTTATAGTAGCTCAAACTAGAAGGTACCAAGGCAGGTGGGATAATGGACTGTTCATCCAACATCAGAAGCAGCTGCAGCTAGCATATAAGGTTCTCCTGGCCACAGATGTCACCTGGGTCTTCAAGAGCCAGGACACCTCTGGTGAGAAGAGGTAAGCAGTATTGATGCTGCTTGGCTGGGTGGGGGTGGGACTGTATGGGTACACTGCAATGGCAGTAGTGCAACCGTATGGCCCTGATTTCACCACTGTCCCACCTTGCCCCAGGCCCACCCAGGGAAGCAGCAGTGATGCCAGTGTTTGGAGGGTAACCTTTGTCTTGTCTGGATAGAGCTTCCGTTTAACCATTCTCATCCATTCACCTGAGATGCCTAACCAGGTTCAAATGAAAAGGAGAAACAGATTGTTTACCGTCAACATACTGAAGACAGCTTGTCCTAACTGTCTATAGATAGCTTCTCCCAAGGTTTTCCATGTTAAAGTTCATAGAAGGCAAGATGGAACCTTGTGGAAAACCAACAGGACAAATACCATGTGGTGGAGCAGCGGTTCCCCAACGCCATCTTCTGGGTCCTGTCTGAGAGCATCACAAATCAGTGCCTCCAGGCAGCACAGAAGGGTACCATGGCCGATGACATCAGAAGCAGCTTAGAATCACAGAATTGTAGAGTTGGAAGGGAACACAAGGATAATCTAGTCCAGTTTACAGCCCAAGCTTACAGCCCCAGAGAATCAACAGGGTTATAATCCTTTCTCCATCTCCGGGCAAATATAATTCACCAAGATAAACAAAGCAGTTTTCAAAACACCTTGAAACCAGATTGGCAAGGATCTAGAAAATCCTTTCAAGAAGTTCCTGAAGCTGCAGAACCATTTTGATTACCTTGCCCATGAATAGTAAATTTCAGACTAGTGGCCAGTAATTATTCCAACTAAATCCAGGCAAGCCATGTGCTAATTTAAGAAACAACCGGTGTAGACAAAATCTCACAGAGACTTAGCTACAGATCAGTAATTTCAGAAAGCTGTGGCCTTAGTTTATTCCATTTGCTTCACCTCATCTCATAGCTTTATTCCTGGTTGCAGGACCAAACTCTGGTTATCCCAGCCACATTCGGTTATTGCAATTATTGATGTTCTTCCAGTATTAACAAGTTGGTATGTTTAAAAACATGGGTGGCGAACACCAGTTGTTTGGGAGAATAGACTCCTGGCAGATTCATTAACATTGACTCATTTAAATTTACAGTTCTTAAGGAGCGTTGCCCGCTTTACATTGAAAATAGATAATTCTTCCTTTAAAAAAAAAGTTAAAAGTATTGAAATACGTAAATTAAACCAATTGCTTAACATATGAACAGAAAGCATCTACAGTGATTTGGTGGACCTCTATTGTTATAGGTCCCTATTCCTATCGTATGTGAGTGTGCATGCATGTTGCACACATATGTAAAAAGGAATGCTTGAGTCTGAATCATATACAAGCAGAAAGCAGGCTACTGAATCATGGGACGTGTGAGCAAAATATTTTGGGAGCTATGGATGCTCGATGTGGGCTAGAGGCGGCAGCTTGGAAAGTGCTCCCTCAGAAAGGTATGTCACTGGCAAATGAGAATTAAACTCTAATTATCACACTGGCATGTTTCAAAATTAAAAAATAAATAACAACATTCTCTACGACCGTCAGTGTCAAAACAATTATTTGCATGCTTGAGCAGATGTCAGATACTGTAGAGGCGTGTGCGCGCATGCAAATTTAAACAGAACATTTTTCTAAAATTGGAGGTATAATCTGTTACCTTAATTATAACACGTACACAAAACACAGTGGGAGGATTAGATAGGGCTTCTTTCTTTCTGTTTTTCTTTAGGTGGTGGCTTCTGCATATGCTCATGAGCACAGGTAAGCGTCAAGGGAATTGAAGGGGGGGAAGCAGGAGCATATGCCTGAGCAGATTTGCCTGGTTCCTTCCCCAACCCACCGCCATTGCTCAAGTAGGCTGTGCTAAACCCTTCCGGTCTGTAACCAGAACATAGCTGTCAACCGTCCCTTATTTGGCAGGAAAGTACCTTATCCCAGTGCCGTGTCCCGCTGCTGTCCCTTATGGATGATGTCCCTTAAATTTCTGGGGTTTCAAAGGAAGCAGCTCCTCTCCCTCCCTCCCTGCCAGCCAGGGAGAAGGGAGGCTCCAACTGTGTTGCATGGCTGCATTGCTCACCCAATAAGGAGTCTAAGAACGACTGGGGGGGTGGAACTTGCATGCCTTGTGCCGATCAAATCGGCCGCGTTGCCTGGGGACTCTCCTTTGCTCAGTGCTTCCCAGCAGAGAGGTGACGGTGGTTTTCCTTGCTGCATCCCCTTTGCCGGGTTGCTGCGCTGTGGGAACCACCACTTGAGGCTTCGTTTGGCTGCTGGCTGGGCTTTCTGCCTTTGGCTCGGAAGGGCTCAGAAGTCAAACATACCTGTGCTCTGAAAATCCCTTATTTTGGCTGCTGATCCCTTATTTCCGAGGCTGCTGGTCCCTTATTTTCAAATCTGTAAGTTGACAGCTATGAACCGGAACTCTCTAGCGACAAGTTGTGGCTCTCGTTCTGTTGCCCCTCTTGTATTACTCAATCCAGAAGATGCAACAGACTCCATCACAGCAGGCTTCCTATCCTGATCTTGCATGACTGCTTTTTGTTTGTTTTTTAAAGTCGGCATTCTCGCGAGGTATGTCCATCCCTGAAGATTCCTATAATTGTAGTGTAAGAACTATAATGCAACGTGTTTTCCAAGGGGTGGTTCATATTCACATGCACCTTCCTCGATTCCTCTGTATTACATTGAGTGTGCTGGGAAGCAGTAGTTAGAACGCTGGTCTTCTCTCTGCTGCCGTTTTTTCTGGGTGACCTTAAGCCCATCTAAGCAACCTCCAGTGCCAAGTTTACGTATAAGCTAAAGAAGCTATAGCTTAGGGCCCCACGCTCTTGGAGGCCTCCAAAAAATTTAAAGGAAAAAAATCTGGATGTACATTCCAAAATATAAGATAAGTTCAACAATTACTTTGATGAAATACTTATTTTGTTATGTGCAAATGGCTTTAGATACCTATTCGGTCCATAAATTACCATATAGCATATATTCAACACAAAGAAGACAGCGACAATTTGTTGTTGACAAAGGACAGCTGGACAAATAAAGGGCCCCATTACCTTCAGTAGCTTAGGGCCTCATCAAACCTAAATCCGGCCCTCACAACCTCACAGGGCTTTTGTGAGGATAAAATGTGGGGAGGGAATCATGTACATTGCCCTGAGTCCCTTGGAGGAAGGGCAGGTTTAAAATGTAATAAATATTGTACGTGTGATGACTGCTCACAAGGTCAGAAGTCTAGATTCAGGTAAGTATCACCTTATAGACCAACTAAGTTTGATCTGGTACAGTGGTACCTCGGGTTACATACGCTTCAGGTTACATACGCTTCAGGTTACAGACTCCGCTAACCCAGAAACAGTACCTCGGGTTAAGAACTTTGCTTCAGGATGAGAACAGAAATTGTGCTCCGGCGGCACGATGGCAGCAGGAGGCCCCATTAGCTAAAGTGGTGCTTCAGGTTAAGAACAGTTTCAGGTTAAGAACAGACCTCCAGAACGAATTAAGTACTTAACCAGAGGTACCACTGTGCCAGAGGTACCAGAATAAAATTAGTTGGTCTATAAGGTGATACTGGACAATTTGGAATTTTTTTAAATTTTTAATTCAGAAGTATTCACCTGTTTGTTCTAAATATTTATACCCTGACTTTCTACCTGAATAATCCAAGGTGGCCTACAATAACAATACGTGCAAATCAGGGATAGCCAACATTGTGTCCTCCATGTCTTGATTGACTATCATCTCCACACAGCGTGGTAAGGGTGATCTGGAAAAATCCACCCTGAGCTAGGAGGGAATTTTGGGCATGGCTGGGCAGGTTGAACAGGTAGGTTTAACATAAGAGCTGGAGATGCAAAGAGGTGGAGAGAACATTCTTTCATATGTGTTAGTCTTGTAAAAGGGTAAAAGAGTATTTGGGAAATGATCTATAATGAATTGGAAAAAAATGTTTAAAAGTACTTTACCAAAAAACCCAGATTCCTTTCTTTTGGGGATAATTCAGACTGAAATTCCCAGGTGTCAAAAAAGGTTGTTTATGTATGCCACTACAGCGGCCCGTGTTTAGTTAGCCCAAAAATGGAAAATGAGAGAGGTCCCAACCAAAGTAGAATGGCAACTTAACTTGACGGAATATGTGCAGCTTGCAGATTTAACATATAAGAGAACAAGATGAACATACATTTGGAGAAGACTGGAAAACGTTTATTGAATATATGGGAAATAATTGTGTACGGCTGAAAACGCTGGCAGCATTAAGATAAATACAACAGTGTAAATAAGTTTTGATGGCTACAATAAGAAGAAGAAGAAGAGTTTGGATTTGATATCCCGCCTTTCACTCCCCTTCAGGAGTCTCAAAGCGGCTAACATTCTCCTTTCCCTTCCTCCCCCACAACAAACATTCTGTGAGGTGAGTGGGGCTGAGAGACTTCAGAGAAGTGTGACTGGCCCAAGGTCACCCAGCAGCTGCATGTGGAGGAGCGGAGACACGAACCCAGTTCCCCAGATTATGAGACTACCGCTCTTAACCACTACACCACACTGGCTCCACAATGGAATACTGAATGGTATAGGTAAAGGTAAAGGGACCCCTGACCATTAGGTCCAGTCGTGGCTGACTCTGGGGTTGCGGCGCTCATCTCGCTTTATTGGCCAAGGGAGCCA